TATTTTTGCAGACTTCTTCAGAGCGACATGAAAGAAAATCGAGAGGGGATCATTCGATTTGAGGAGATTTCAGGATCTGTTATGGAAGATGTTTTAGAATTCATCTACACTGGAACTGTGGAAGTAACTCAGGTAAATGCAAAGGAACTTATCGCCGCAGGGAATTATCTGATCATACCGAGCTTGAAAACGCTTTCAGGGAGGTTTTTGGAACAAGAAATGTCCCAAATGAACTGTATTTCAACCTTTTACTTCGCTGAGAAATACGATTGTGACAAGCTTATCGTCAACAGCAGGCGTTTCATTCACAAAAACATCGTTTCCGTGGCAAAACTGGATGAATTTTTGCACTTGGAAGCTAAACAGATCGAGAGGTGGATTTCGTCCGATGAGATTACCGTCAAAGAGGAAGCTGATGTTTTTAAAATCATTTTAGACTGGGTAAACCACAGAGAGAGCGAGCGAAAAACAGCATTTGAAGGATTGTTTCGTCATGTTCGGCTGGGTTTCCTGTCGCGTGACAGTTTGCAGGATATCGTGACAAACGAACTTGTCCGTGACAGTGCTGTCTGTTTGAGGCTAACAGTCGATGCTACTTTTAAAATGGCTACTTTTGTCAATGAAGATGATCTCCCACAGTCATCGAGAAAGGGAACTGATACACGTGTTATTGTAGTTCGGGGTGGCAAGTACACTTTTTGTTATATTCCTGAAGAAGACTTGTGGAAGCGTTTACCTGATGGTACGAAGGAGCTCAATGCCATTACATCGAAGATGATAAAATTCCGTGATCAGTTGCTCACCTTCACCAAATCTGAAGGCGCAGAGAGATACGATCCAATTTTTAACGATTGGTCAGCCTTGAAATCGCACGCGGAGTCCTCTAACGTAGCTATCGTTAAAGGGAAAATTTATGCTGTTCAAGTAAACACCACTGACCAGAAAACTACGGTCGTAAAGTACAATGTAGAGCTGTGTAAATGGGAGACAGTTGATCTCTCGTTTGATCAAGATTGTAGACTGAATACTTGTGTTGTTGCAGCTGGTAGACACCTGTTTATGATTGGAGGGTGGAAAAAAACAAAGGAGTATTTCGCAAAAGGTGAGAGATTTGACACCGTGGACAAGAAATGGGAAGAAATTGCTGATATGCAGGCAGAAAGAGCTGGCGCTTTTGGGGTGGCCACTCGAGAGAAAATCTTCGTCGCTGGAGGGCTATGCGGAGGAAAATTACCCATTACTTGCGAGAGGTATGATATATCAACAAATGAATGGCAACTTTTTCAAGGCCTAAACGTTCCTCGTTACTGTGGTAGTATGGTGCAGCTGAGTGGAAAGCTGTACGTATTGGGTGGAGTGAGTAAGGGCAACCCAAGTGAACTGAGTGTTGAGTGCTATGACACTGCTTCGGACAAATGGATCCAGAAAACAACCATACCAGTGGAAAGCATCTCCACAACATATAATCCGTTTATTGGATGTGCAATGAGGCTTTCCAAAGGAGCACTAGATGAACTTAGTATTATAGAGGTGTAGTCCCCCATTCACTCCACGACTCTTTAAACCGTCTGGATAGTTAAAAATACTGACTGGCGCTCCCTAATTGGACGACTTTGCACATCATTTGTCGCCCGGGGGGTAAGAATTTACCTGATCCCTCAATAGGCTATGTAGTATTCTAATGATTCTCCTTTACTGACAGTCAATTTCTTATAGTCCCCCTCTATTGGCGACGACCGATCCCCCCTCCATTTCCCCTGGAAACCATTTGATCCTCACAAATTCTCCAACCCACCCCCCCTGTAACTGCATTCCCTTGTCAGTTTTGAGAAGGACATGACATACAAGTTTGGTGTTTAACAGGGATGACGACCTAGTAACCTTACAGTGTGGACATACTACGGTTTCTTCCTCAATATGGTTATCTGGAAGGGAGTGATTGCAGACAAGACATGACATATTTTTCTTTATTTCTATCACTACACACTGTCCTGTAAGATGGTTCTCTTGAAGACCTGGTGTATTTGTATTGGCATCTGTAATTTCNAGCTGAGTACATGGGAGACAGTTGATCTCTCGTTTGATCAAGATTGTAGAGGCAATATTTGTGCTGTTGGAGCTGGTAGACACCTGTATATGATTGGAGGGTGGAAACATACACAGGAGTATTTCGCAAATGATGAGAGATTTGACACTGTGGAGGAGAAATGAGAAGAAATCGCTGATATGCAGGCAGAAAGAGCTGGCGCTTTTGGGGTGGCCACTCGAGAGAAAATCTTCGTCGCTGGAGGGCTATGCGGAGGAAAATTACCCATTACTTGCGAGAGGTATGATATATCAACAAATGAATGGCAACTTTTTCAAGGCCTAAACGTTCCTCGTTACTGTGGTAGTATGGTGCAGCTGAGTGGAAAGCTGTACGTATTGGGTGGAGTGAGTAAGGGCAACCCAAGTGAACTGAGTGTTGAGTGCTATGACACTGCTTCGGACAAATGGATCCAGAAAACAACCATACCAGTGGAAAGCATCTCCACAACATATAATCCGTTTATTGGATGTGCAATGAGGCTTTCCAAAGGAGCACTAGATGAACTTAGTATTATAGAGGTGTAGTCCCCCATTCACTCCACGACTCTTTAAACCGTCTGGATAGTTAAAAATACTGACTGGCGCTCCCTAATTGGACGACTTTGCACATCATTTGTCGCCCGGGGGGTAAGAATTTACCTGATCCCTCAATAGGCTATGTAGTATTCTAATGATTCTCCTTTACTGACAGTCAATTTCTTATAGTCCCCCTCTATTGGCGACGACCGATCCCCCCTCCATTTCCCCTGGAAACCATTTGATCCTCACAAATTCTCCAACCCACCCCCCCTGTAACTGCATTCCCTTGTCAGTTTTGAGAAGGACATGACATACAAGTTTGGTGTTTAACAGGGATGACGACCTAGTAACCTTACAGTGTGGACATACTACGGTTTCTTCCTCAATATGGTTATCTGGAAGGGAGTGATTGCAGACAAGACATGACATATTTTTCTTTATTTCTATCCCTACGCACTGTCCTGTGAGGTGGTTCTCTTGAAGACCTGGTGTATTTGTATTGGCATCTGTAATTTCGTCTACTTCTTGTACAACTGTGGTTTCCTTAGTGTTTACAAATTCTGTGTCGTCAAAGGAACGTACGGTTACATTTTGCAGCAAATAGCTTTTACCCGAGGAAACTTTGTCAATAGTGTCTTACCAAAGTATTAATTGAATGGAATTTGTGCGATCAGCTACCATACACTCAACTTTGTAGTAGCTAGATTTTGTCGTTCTTGACAACGGCTTGTTTGTGTGGTTGTTTTGTAATGACTTTAACTTTGAGGTCAATTGGCTGATAAATAGGTGCCTCCAGAGCTTCTTCACAGGTGTGAAGCTTGTTGTAAAATTTTCCATTGTAAGGAAATGCAAGACTTGTGGAGTGGAGTTGGGCACTTTTGGAGAGAGTATATTCTTCCTTGTCAAAGAATAGTCTCTTGGTGTGCTTTCTTGTTCCAGTTATTTTGATGGGGGACTTCTTTTCAAAAGCTTGTTGTTGTGTTGATCTCTGCTTTGGAGAGTAGCACACCAAACGGACACTATTTTTCACTAGTTTGTACACTACAATCAAAAAAATTGTTTGCGATTTTGTTGCAGTTTTGATGGGACTCAGCTGACGATACCCTTCAAGGGGCTAGAATAGAAAATAAGCTAAAATTTGTTGAAAATTAAAAGAAACTGTGTTTAAATAACATCCAGTTATGATATAGATGAGATACACTGTAGATCTGATAAATGTATGAGAGCTGTCATTGTTCAGTATGCCATAAGGAGGTACAAAACTTGGATCAGACTGACTGGATCACCTAATTTTGGTTAAATGAACTCAGATCAACTATAATTTGAACTGAATTATAAAAAATTGTGTTTTGCTACAGGTAGTGCAGACTCAGAGCTCTTAACCCTCAGACATTGAGCGTGAGATTTAAATGGATGCAATTTCACACTCTCGTACTTAAACAATATTATCTCTAATGCATTCCAGTCTTTTGATTATACAGTACAAGTTTATTTGAAGTAGAAAATTGCGAGCAAAGTATACCAACATAACCTATGATCATTGTAATATTGTAGGAAGAAGCAGGACGAGACAAATATAAATGTCAACAGAACGACAGGTCTTTTTTAATCAAGATGGCGTTTCAGGCAAAAATTTTAGGAAAATTCACGAGGCGCTTTGTATACTTCAAACAACATTTAAAGTGTCACAAATTTAAAAGGGAAACTATCAGATTTCTCCTCTCGTGTGAAAGTTTTCAGGGAAATCTTGAGGTTTTCACTTGTGAAAGAAAAAAATCACGTCACGTATACTTTAGGAGGCAAATCACGCCCCACGCTGGTTCATAGATTCACCTACGAATCACGCTCGCCTCTCTGTAAAATTCACGCGTCACAGCACAAGCGTCAGATAATAATTATGGGCCTAATCATTCATCAGGTTAAAAATCCTTGCCACCTTCTGATTAGTTTTAACAGCTAGATATTTTTTCAATTGTGGCTGGTATGTCTCCTTTCCTTAAAGTTCAAGTGATATTTAGTCTTATTGAATGGTGCAAAGGTGGGTCTAGGGTTTGTGTGAGATATGGAAATCCTAGAAAATAATAGAATTTCGCCCCTCACGGGCAGGAGGATCTTGATGGGTTAATTTGAAAATTTTTCTTAAGCGGACCTGTGGTCTTTCGATTTATGGTGCTGGTAAAGGACCATCGAACCCTTTGTAAAGAGATGCCACAAAAGACGCTATATTTTCTATGAACCGAGTCTATTAGAAAAAATCGACAGAAAACTTCTGCTCTTAAGCGAGACTTTAGAAGGCGAACTACATCATTACACTCCTTGCAGTCAACTGTGGGAGACAAATCTCTCTTCTCACCGTGAACAATACTTCAACTTTCTTTAGAATTACAGACCACTTAACAATTGTGTTGTATATTGTATTGAATGTTTTGATAGTTCGAAAGAGGAATGGAAACAACCATACCAGTGACAAAGATCGTCCTGAAAGATAAAGATCAGCGTTTTCCAAGTCTTCTACTCGTCTCTAGAGTCCCCCAGGGGACTAAGAAACCGAACGGGCGTATGGGAAAACGGGAACCATCATCACTTCCGCTTTCGATCATGTAGTGTCGTCATTCAGACACTAAGAGACTGTTACTCGTTCATTGCCAAAGGCTAACTGAACTTTATAAACAAACACATTACACCTATAGAAGTAGATGAGTTCACTGACTTATAGTAATTTTACAGCATGCAGGTATTTCCAGTATAGTAGGATTACTGCGTGTAGTACATTTACTACAAAGTGCTCACCTGACAACCCATACTAGGTTGTTGTCAATAATTAATATAGGTACATGTAGAATCAATACACAACAGTTAATAGGGTTAGGGTTAGGAATTAAAGTACAAAGTGCTCACCTTACAACCCATACTAGGTTGTTGTCAATAATTAATATAGGTATAATCAATACACTACATCCCTCCTGGCCGACGTTGCAAAGTTATTTTATCAATTAATGCATTTAATTAGTAGTAAATAAAATTTTCATTATCCCTTGTTGATTTAACTACTCGTCCTGACGTAGTGGTAACAACATTGCCCTCGTTATTCTGAGAGGCTTGCTCATCACAATGACCTACTGGCTCATTGCTTTTACAAGCACCAGGGTTGGTCATACCCTTATCGCTAGAACCTAAAACTTCGTGGTTGTTCTGTAGTTCTTCTACAATTTCTGAACTCGAAATTGGCACATGCTTTAGATATTTCGCGTTCCGAATTAGAATGGCACCGGTATCTACATTAAATACACCGAAAGTGTCTCTTCCCAGCGCCTTGACGATTACATGCTTAGCTGACTGGAACTTAGAATCCAGTTTGCTAGGCCTCATGTTTGTGCAGAATACAACGTCGCCTACTTTAAAATCATGCAAGGCTACGTGACACCTAGTGTCATGATAATCTTTAAGTCGTGCTTGGTAACTCTCGCATTTTGCACGGTGCGCTTGCTCTAACTGTGGATCGGGACTAGGTTCGATGTGCGGAACCTTCATGCGGATTTCGTGGTTAAAGAGTAATTTGGCAGGCGAATTTCCGCTAATCGGATGAGGAGTTGCCCGATAAGACATGAGAATCTTCGGTAATTCTCTCTGCCATTACTCTCTGCGATTACGGCGCGAAAATTCTTCTTGAGATAGTAATAATAATAATAATAATAATAATAATAATAATAATATATTTATAGAGCGCTTTAACTATTGGTCAATATTCAAAAGCGCTGCACAATAAGAATATTTAACAATTATTCCACGAGCGCGCTTTGGATATGAGATGATAGATAGCCAACGAGGCGCATAGCGCCGAGCTGGCTATAATCATCTCATATCCAACAAGCGCGAGTGGAATAATTGTTTTATTAAAAACGCCCCCAAGAAATTATTATTTTGTAAGA